TGATCATATAGCTAAGCGATCGCATTGTTATTCTAATATCTCAAAAACAAAATTCAACAGATTGAGTTATGGTGCTCGCCAAAATGTAGTCCTGTTTTCATAGTTTATCTGCTTGCAATATCAACTCTCGATATCATGTATTTACTCTATCGAACTAGACAAGTCAAAAATGATGTATCTCAATTTCACTCAAAATTGTTCATACACTACATGCAAAAATAAAATACATGATTAAGAAAGCTGATATTTTGAACAGGACTACCTATTTGCAAAAATCACAGCTCAATCTATTGAAATCATCTTGAGATATTAGGCAAACATGGACGATTAGAGTTAAATGTTTCGATGAATTTTGAGCACTGCTCTAGAGGTGATGGTGTGGTTTACAAGAGCCCTTCGTTAAGTGTTAACTTAATTTTCTAGTTGATCTCAATGATCCGACATATGTTGTTGCATCACAACATTTTCGACAATTATTTTATCGATATGGTTCTCCTAGTTAGTTGAATATTTTTATATTTAATTTTAAACTTTCTTTTGTTTTTCTTTTTAGTTCTTGTTCTTAATCTTGTTAAAGTAATTGAAATTTTTTCTTTAACATTGTTTTTTTTCTTGTATCTTTATTAATTAAATATAATTCATAGAAACGTGAAAAGAAAAAACAAGAATATATTTTATCTGAAGAATTTTGTAGTGCTCTTGATTATATAAAACAATTTATACCGGATGATAATGGTATACAATATTTAGCATTTGATATGGCTCGTGTTAATCGTTCGTATGTAATTAAAATAAAATTATAATGAATAAATTTCTTTATTTCTTCTGTCAAAAAAGAAAACATCGACGTGTTATGCCTAAATTAGATGAAATATCTCGTCGATATTTACAACAAACGGGATTTTTTCAAAATTTTCCATTATTAGTAAATGACAAACAATATTTTTATGACAAGTAAATTATTTTTATATGAAAACATATTATTTTTTTTTTTTTGAATTTATTTTTTTATAGAGAAAATGCAATTAAATTAACACCATATCAAACATTTTTTGTACAAACAGGTGTTGCACGAGTCAATTGTGTTGATTGTCTTGATAGAACAAATACAGCTATGTATTCTATAGCAAAATGTGCTCTTGGATATCAGGTAGAATATCCGAATTTAGATTTGATTCAATAGTTATTAGAAAATGTCACATTCAGATAAGAGTCTCACATACTCTCATATGAATATGCAGTGAATATAAAAATTTTTTCCACTGTTATAAGCGCTAGAGAGAATCAAAATAGTGATTCGAGTAGAGAATATGGTTTTCAAAAGACTATTTTTGTTTAGCATCCAAAACGTGCCAAATAAAATTTCATTTGGACTACATAGAATGATCGAGTAAACAATTCTCTACAAAATGAGATGGATCCCGAGTTTTCTGCAACGTTTTTTTAGTTTGAGATACAGCAATCTTACGGAAATCTCTAAACTCGGTTTTTTTTTCCAAAAAACTATTTTTCGACCTTCAATTAATTTAGTTGTCTGTCTTTGACTAAAGGCAGATCATTCTTGTGATTTGTTTTTCTATTTGAGATAATATTCATTTATTTTTAGTTATTCGCTATGGGTCTTACTGATTCACCACATTTACAAGAAGATTCTGCAGCTGAATTGTAAGTTTATATTATTTATCTTAAATCAATTATTATTCAATCATTGATATTTCTAGAGTAATAAAACAATTATTTGAACATTCAGGTGATATTCTAGCACAACAATATGCTGGTAGTCAATTAGTTCATCGAATCGATACATATAAAAAATTAACACCAGCTTGGTCAACACAATCTCGAGATATTGTACAAACACTTTCACGTTATTATTCAAATACATTTTCAGGTATTTATATATATATATACAAGCAAAATGGGACACATTCATCTTTCATTGGATTTTAATTCTTTACAAAGATTAGTTTTTTGAATAAATTTTAAAACCCATCATCTTCGCAAATAATTCAAAGACATACATAAAAACAGTGTTCTGTTTCAATGAAGTTTTGATTAAAAAAAAAATCAGAAAATTTTCTAAAAATCAACAGAATTATATAGAATCTGACTGATTGCCGTTGTCAAGTTATTTAGCTTATACGTTCAACACTCTTTTATTCTAGCACGAACTTTAGGATACACTTCACAGTACGAACTGCATCTAAGATGAAATTTTCATCAAGACTGGGTTCCAAATAACCGGTTGTTTAGAGATCCTATCAAATCTTGAAACAAAATTTTTTTTGTCTTATCATCATCTAGAAATTCTGAAGAATTTGTACTGTTTGGAATTCGTTGATTTTTTTTAGCATATCTTGAGTAACTTAACATACATGTTACATATAAAAATTAGCCTTAGGAAAGTATTTTAATTTTGCAAAGTCATGTTACTAACGAATGATTTTGTCTATATGTTATTCAATTGATTCATTTATTTAATCTTCTCTAATAGATGCAGAAAAACAACATTCAATGAATTTATTTTTGGGTATTTTTCAACCAAAAATAGGTCGACCACATTTCTGGGAATTAGCAAGTGATTATCATTTACATGATCCACGAATAACACCTAGTTATATAGCACCACAGTAAATCAATAAAGAAAAAAAAACAATCTTTGAGAAAATCTTTTCTTTTTGTTTGTATTTTTAAGTTGTACAAATATTCTTGGTGATGATATATGGTTTTCATTACCACTTGCAGCTGAACAAGGTTTTGATTGATTTTATTTGAAATAAAAGAATAATGATCTTTTTTTTTTCTTCTTTAGTTTTGAAATCAAACAAAGATTGTCTTGAAATTGTTTCAGTTAAACATAATGATCCACTTGTTGATGGTTTTAATGAATATTATCGTCCAAATGAATTAACAGTATTTGAAGAAAAATTTGAATGGAATATGGATTCAACTAATAAGTAAAAATAAATGACACATATTTATTCAATAGATCATTAATATGAATTTTTGTTTTGTTTTAGAGATTTAGCATATAACTATACAAATATTCGTGAATTTACACCATTTTCTGTTCGAGATAATAAACAACGAAAAAGTATGGTTGGTCTCAGGTAAAATTTCATTTCGGTTAAGTTAACAATTTTAAAAGATCGTTTGTTCTCTCAGAAAATTTCTTATTAATATTAACATCTACATAATTGAATAAGAGTCACGACAGATCCTGATCAAAAAGAATTTGAACGAATTTGTAAAAGTACGATATCTCGGTAGCAATAAGATAAATTCCTGAATTCTTCTCAGATTATTCAAAACTCATTTTAACCTACTATAGTCCCGATTTAAAAGCAATTAATCAGTTGAATGGCTTCCATTGTCCTCTTCACCTAAAAACTGCATGTACTATTAAATTTCACACGAATATAAAACGTTTATTGCGTATTAGTCTAGGGTAATAGCCGTTAGAAAAAAAGGAACGATTAAACTGATTATATCGACTCCGAAATAGAACAGATAACAGTTCCCGTAAGACAATCTATATGTTTCTCAATAGAATTCACCTTGTATTCTTCTGCTAATCATATCACATGAATTTTTAAGTTATAAAAGAAAAAAACAAGACATAGTTAAATTATTATTTCCAAAAAATAAAGTAAATAACATGTATTTAGTCTTACGGCTGATGTTCAACAACGTGCACTTCTTCCATCATCAGCATCATTATCAAATCAATCTCAAAATTTAAATCAAGATCAAACATCTGATGAAGATATACTTGATGATACAGATACTGATGAAGAAACATCTAAAAAACAATTACCAATAACAAATAAAAAGTCTTTTAAATTAAAATCAACTAATAAATCAATTAATGATGATTCAACTAATAGTGCAATACAAGTAAAACGTCTTTTAAATATAATATTTCCAACGACAAATGATGTATATGGTTTTCATTTGGATGAACCATCAACTGAATCATTACATTGTTATGAACAATATGCAAAAATAGCACGTGATGCATGTTCATTATCAACAACATCAACAATAAATAATCAATATGTTCAGGACTCATCTCTATCATCAAATCGATCAATGTCATCAAGTTCAAGTTTTGAAATGTAAAACTTTTTTTTTCAAAAATACTTAAAAGGACATCGTTGAATAAGATTGTAAATCTGTCATTGACTAGATTTCATTTTCAATAGAATAGAAAGATAGAGTATGAAATTCTGCACATATTATTTTTTTGTTACATGTAAAAAATGATTTTTTCGAGAATTAGCGAGGGAACATATTCAACTGTCAAACACCGGTAGACTTCACATTGTGGCTACAAGCAGGTTAAAACGAATCGCGCCTATGGCCTATTATTGAAGTGTTATGAACGTTTTAATGAATTTTTTACTGAGGACAAGGCATTTTCGAAAAATCAAAAAACCAAAAAAAAGTTTCAAGTTGAAATTATGTCTATAGGTACGTCTGATAGTTCTGAAAGTTTCAACGAAAGCAAACATGTCTTCC